CCTTTCTTCCAGAGTGACTGGTGGGAATGAACCACATACCTTTCAGTTAGCAGTCTAATGCTCAACCCACCATGCCACCAGGACACCTTACATTGTTGTTGTTAAGTGCTGTTGAGTCGGTTTCAACTCTTAGCCACCCTATATAGGGTTTCTGAGGAGTGGATGGTGAATTTGAGCCGCCAACCTTGAGGTTGAGTGCTTATCCTATAGTGCCTCACCAGGACTCCTTGTAACTAAACCGTCAATATATTTTTGTACTGGGTTTTTGTTTTGTTTTGTTTTGCTTTTCAGTTTGTCTTTTTTTTCCTTTTAATGAGACTTTTATTTTCATCAAGCCCTTTTCCCTAAAAGTTCTGTATCATGTCAGTCTTCAAGATGACATTTTTATGTGTATCGTTTTCTTCATAAGACTTTAGTCTTAAGATCTTTGGTTCATGTGGCACTTTTTTGTGTGCAAGGAGCCAAATGTAAAGCTTCAGTCTTATTATTTTGAAAATTGATAGCCAGTTGTTGTAGCACTGTCTACTGAAAAGTTAGTCATTTCCTCATTGCCTTTACAGCATCCCTTAAATCTCCCCACACGCAGAATGTGCTTCTGAGAATGGTGTAGAAGTTCTTAGACCAGTACCTCCCTGGAGTTTTGTAACATTTTACTATCCCTGAGGGCCAGGACTCCTTTAGTGCTCTTTTCTAGAATTTTCTTGCTATCTTCTTGCACTTCTTCCGGATGAATTACTGCTTCAACCTTATGTTTAAAATGTTCCTCATATATCATTCACTAAGTGGGAGGCATTGTGTTAAACACTAGCACATACATATGTATACTTCTTTCACCTTCCTTGAACCCTCACAGCAGCCCTGTGAGGAGGTATCCTCATTTAGGAGTTGGTGACAGGGGATCCACACCCCTTCCCACAAGGCCCTGTGATGGGTGTAGCAGCTTCACGAGGAGGGTGAACTGGAACCCACTGGTCTGACTCCAAGGCAGTCAAAGATGAAAAAGCCATAGTCTTGGTGTGATGGTGTCCTTTCTCCAATGCCTCATCCTGAAGTAGAGGCAGAACTTCCGGATGATTGGAAAAACCAGCAGACGATTCTAGGAGAGTTGTGCTATTGGACAAATTTGCTTCACTTCCCTGGTTTCTTCAGTGGCTAGCAAACACTTTCCGCATTTTTATGCAAATAATGTTCTTGCTATATGGCTTTTGCAAACTGTACAACCCCCTCACATGTTGGTTTTCTGTGAGTACTGTGTGCATTATATGAGTATGTGTACATTATTTCCATGGGTGTGTCATATGCTAAAAATAGGGCAGTTTGTGTTGGTTTGGTTATGCTTAGTTTGTATTGAAAATGTAGTTCATGAAGTTTATTCTCTGTCCAGTTGGCATCAATTTAGGACACAGTCACACTGACAGACTATTCATTGGAAGCAGTAATTTGGGAAAGGGCTCTAAAACGCTTATTTTATAAAGCAATGGAGAGGTAATTTTTAAATAGTGAAGGGCCTCTGAATTTGACCTGAAGATCTAGGCCTAATCATTCATTCAGGATATATTTATTGTTATCTTCTCTTTGCATAGGCCCTGTGGTTGTGGCAGATAGCAAGATAGGCGTGGTCCCTGTACACTCAAAGCTCACAAGATAGATAGCTGGACAACAGACCATCAAATGAACATGATTCCAGATTGTGAGTCTGGCTCTTAGTTTTACCACAATAATCTCAAGACTTTCCAAGTGTCACTCTCAACAAAATGGAAGTGATAAAATGATGAGTGAAAATGTAAAGATATTGCAAGGAATAACATCAGCTATGTGTGATGATACTTAGTAGAATTCATAACCCACCAGGGAATACTCCCTGAGGGACTTATCAAAAGGGACTCTCAAACAAACAAGTTCTTCTTTTCTTCTTAATGCCGTAAGAATTTTCCCAGTTATGAAGCGGGCCTGTCTGTACTTGCCAAGTGATGAAAGGACTGGCAGCCCCATTAATAGCCATGACTAATTAGAGCTTGTGAAGGTAGGTGTCTGATGCTTTACGGCGTAGAGTAGGGTTCACATGGGCTGCCTGGGTCTGAATCCTGCCTCCACCTGTCGTTTGTCCTTGGGCAAATCACTCAACCCCTCTGGAATCCTTCAGTTTCTCCATCTGTAGGATGGGGATACTAGTACTTGTCAGGATATTATGAGCCTGTTGCCGCTGCTGTTAAGTGCCGTTGAGTTGGTTCTCCAACACATAGCGACCCTGTATGGGGTTTCCTAGGAGTATCTGATGGGTTTGAACTGCCGACCTTGTGGTTTGCAGTCCAGTGTTAATCCTACAGCACCACACCAGGAGTCCATTATGAACCTGGTCCATAGTAAATGTAAACTAGTCTCTCTTACTCTGTGTATTTTGAGGCTTTCTCCTGTTGTGATGGAGTGGTATTGAACCAAGCATGTAGGCCAGTTTGCTAAAGCGAAGTAAAGGCAAACCAGAGGAGGGCAACCGTGAGAAAAAGTGGTGTGATGAGGAAGGATGGGATGGTTTATCTTTGACAGTGGGGACTCGATTCTTATGGCAGCACTGTGATCTGGAAGATAGACTAGTTGTTGGGTGGACTGACAAGCTGAGCAGGAGGCTAGTACAGGTGTGTCCACCTCCCCACGGCCTCTCTGTGTGATCTTGGGCAAGTTCTGCCGCTTCTATTACCTGTTTCCACATCTGTCAAATAAGGGTTTGGACCAGGTGAGCTTCTCTTTGCCCTGGCTGAGGTCTCACATAGAGCAATGAGTGGCTGAGTACCTGTGGAGGGAAGGATGCTGAGCTGGTGTATCTAACTCCATCAAGCTCAAGCCCCCTGGCTTCACCAGGTCCTGCTGCAGAGACCCAGGTTCTGAGAGTTCCTAGAGCAGCATGTTAGAACCCTTGTATCCCAGTTCAGGCTAGCTCAGTCTCCAGACAAGTCTTTTGGACAGTTGTTAACTTCTGGTTATGCTAGTCACAACAGGATCTGACCTTTGTGTTCTGTAGGGTTTTCATTGGCTGATTTTTCAGAAGTAGATTACCAGACCTTTCTTCCTGCTCTCTCTTAGCCTTGGAAGCTCCTCCGAAACCTGTTTAGCAAGCATCATGTTGTTGTTGTTGTTACGTGCTGTCAAGTCGGTTCTGACCCATAGCGATCCTGTATAGGGTTCCCAAGGAGTGACTGGTGAGCTTGAACCACCAACCTTGCAGTTCAAACGGCTTTACAGTCTGTTGCATTAACCCACAGCACCACACCAGGACTCCCATAGCAATGCATAAACCTCCACTGACAGACAGTGGTGGCTGCACATAAACTGCATTTGCTGGGAATTGAACTTACGTCTCTATTGCTGAACTACCACCACTGCTTTATCTGTGGGGATATCTGTGCCCCGTAGAGGACATGTCTCTAATCTGAAGTCTAGGAAATTGGAGCAAGGAAATAGCCCCCCAGTAAGGGAAAGGGAACTGGCATGTATTGGCACACCCACACTGCCTTGTACAGGAGCAGTTTGCCTAACAAGCTCCCGGGATTGGGTATTGACGTTTTCATCTTACAGATGACTTAACTGAAGTTCATAAAGGGCGGCTCACCAAAATCACATACTAAGTGACAGAGGCCGGCTCTGATCCCAGTGTCTGTGTGACTCCTGCCTCCTCCTTCTCCTTCTGTAACCTCTGCAGTGCTGTGTTCCTGTGGGGAAAACTCAGCACAGTGGTGTGGTACCTGTTCCGCTCCTTTCATTATGGGTATGGGTAATCAGGCCCCAAAGAATGACGAGAACAGGTTCTGAGATGAAGTACCTTCCTAAGTCTAAACGCAGGAAAGGACAGAGTGGTCCTGGGCTCAGGCCAGTCTGCCATGCCCTCATTTTCTGGATTCTCTCCCCACATCCCATATACACTGATTCCACCCACCCCTGCTTGCCCCGAAACACACACCACCACCACCACCTGGTCTCTTACCTCTTGGATTGTCCAGCAGTTTGACCTTCTGTACCTGGTTCTACAAGGCCCTGAGTATTTGTGGTTATTACATACCTCCCCTTCTTGGGCTGGGCCGCTGTTTAGAACAACAGTGTGGTGCAATCAAAGGGCCACGAGAAATCGTTCAGAACAGTCATTTCTTAGTCACTGACTCTATGTGTGTCTAGCACATTTTAAAGAACCATAATATGTATTAACTATTTGTATAAAGTAGGCACATAGTTTATCCCTTTCAGATTCCTGCTGGTGACTTTGGAAAGCTTTAGAGATAAATACATTTTGCATTTGCGTCCTGAACAGCTCCTATGAGGAATGGAGCTAAGTGCAAGCCTAGTAGCTGCTGTCAGCCGTCACGGCGAGGACATGGGAGACACCAGGCAGGGCCTTGGATGCAGAGCCCAGATGTTGTGGCGGCTGTTCAGCCTGGTTCTACCCCCAGGCAGCATCTAGGCTCCAGAGTTGGGGCTCAACCTTAGGTTCACATTGGGTTCTTCAGGTCCTGAACCTGCAGTTCAGGGAAGCCAAGTTTGGGTGAGGGCTGGTTCCCCTGTCAGCCTAAAGAATGAGAGGACTGCTCCTTCTCTGAGCTGACCCAAGGAGACAGGCTCCTACCATATGGCTCTCCCTGCACAGGAGGGGCTGAGCAGCCGTGCATCACTGGCCTGAAACTGAGTAGGACTTCAGTGCTCAGACCACAGCCACTTGTGTGAAGGAGAAGTGCACACCATTCGTGTGCCATGGGTACACAGGACATCAAGGCCAGGGCATGGTAACCATGGACACTGTGGGTCCTTAAGGATTGCAGCCGCAAGGGGGCAAATGGCAGAGCCTGGACAAGAACAAGGGTTTTCTGACTGCTAGGTCATGCGGAGGTCCCTGGCACCAGAAGCATATTCCCCTGAGCAGGTGCCTTTGTAGTGAGCACTTTAACCAAGTGAGAGGGAAGTATCCTGATGGCTAGTGTCCTTTTCTTCTTAGGTCAATCCAGGATCCAGCTTCCAAAATGCGGTACTTCTTAACCACCCTCTGCTGTCTGCTGACACTGACCAGTGCCTGGGGCAGTCTTCATTTCCAGTCCCTGTCGGAGGAGCTGGTCAACTTTGTCAACAAATATAACACTACATGGCAGGTGGGTTGTGAGGTGGTGTTTGTCCCTGTGGACCTGCCTGCAGGCTGGGCTGTTCATTCTCGCTCCTGAGTGAGTTGGCTCCAGCTGGGGCCTGAAGGACATTCTTCCGGGACACTGGGGAAATGGCCCTGATTCAGAGTCATCTAGGCTCAAGACAATGTCCCTACCACTCTTGTCCTTTGCTCTGTGTGTGTGTGTCTGTCTGTCTCTAGGGAAATAAATGTGCTTTAGATAAATGTGGCCATAAGCTAGGAGAGCCTGTAAAGGACCCCACTAGTGTGAGGAGTGGTACTTTACCTATCCAGCGCTTTCCTGACTGCTCAGCATTGAGACCTGGGGTTGCGGGAAGGTTTCTCTTCTAGTTAGCAGTTGGTAGCTAGTCAGAGAAGACACCCACCGGTCTTCTGACAAGCTGAACTCTCCTGACAAGGACTCTGGGCTGGTCAGGGCCTCTGGCCTCCATGTGCACACACACATTCACCCCTTTCCTGGCAAACACCCCCTTCTACTGAGGATGACAGCCACAGGGCTCTTTTCCAGGCTGGCCACAACTTCTACAACGTGGATATGAGCTACCTGAAGAGGCTGTGTGGCACCATGCTGAATGGACCCAAGCTGCCTCAGCGGTGAGTGCCTGCACCATGCCAGCGGCTGGGACACAGGCAGCAGGAGCTTGCGTGAGGACTGGGAAAGAGCAAAGAAAGAAGTCTCCCTGGGCAACAGTAGCTCTCATTTTCCTCTAAGCTGCAGAGATATTAGAGTTCCAGGGCTCAGTCATAATGGCAGTGTTTTCTGTTGGGCTTCATCAGGTTAGTTTAGGAACCCTGTAAGAAAGGCCCCAGGTAGGAAAGACTTGGTGTGGGTCTGCAAGTTCTACATGGACTCCTTTTCAAATAATTGGAGGAATGCCAAGTGATCTATCATTCGTGCTTTGTTTTTATGAAGAACTCTGTGATGGCTCTTTCATGCAACTATAATTATCTTAGGAAGTATTAGAAATGTCCAACAGGGAAGATGGAATCTTCAAGTTAGGGTACACACCACTATATACACGACGAAGATGACATAAAAAAATCTGTGAGGAATATGGGAAGGGGCTTATGATAGGGGTAAGGCAGCTGAAGTAAGAAACACGGTTACTTATCTGTACCCCATCACTAAAACTCTTGGAATGTTGTTGTTAAGTGCCATCGAGTTGGTTCCAACTCAAAGCGACCCTGTATAGATAAGACTTTCTGAGAGCATCTGGTGGGTTTGCACTGCTGACCTTGGGGTTAGCAGTCCAGTGCTTAAAATTCTTATAATATATTCATAAAATACATCGAGAAAGAAACACATAAAATGAGAAGTTGTTCGGAGCAGAAGAATTTGTTCCAAGGGGACTTCAGTCCTGCAGACTTTCTCCTCTACATGTCTTCCATGTGCCTCACTTCCTTCTAAGTGGTAAACTGTGTGGGAGAGTGAGTTTTAATGAAGACCTTCCTTTATCCAGAGTTCACTTGGCTGATGACATGGATCTGCCTGATAACTTTGATGCCCGGGACAACTGGCCAAATTGTCCAACCATCAAAGAAATCAGAGACCAGGGTTCCTGTGGCTCTTGTTGGGTAAGGCCTGCTAGCTGAGGAGGGCTATGGGCGGGAGCACATTAGGGGAGTGGTCATAGGATGTGAGGTGGGGCCAACGGTTACTTAAACGCCATGTAAAAATCATGAGCAGCACTATGGTCATGAGGTTGATGTGGGCTAACCCACCCCATTGCCGCTGAGTTGATTCTTCAGGACAGGAGAGAACTGCTCCTTGTTGTTTCTGAGGCTGTAAATCTTTATAGAAGCAAATTGCCTCATTCTTCTGTGGAGCAGCTGGTATGTTTGAACTGCCAGCCTTTCAGTTTAGCAACCTACACTTAACACACTGCACCACCAAGGACTCCTTAGGTAGGATAATAGATGCGAGAGAACCTTATAGATTGTAAGCACTGTGTGTGTTCCTTTTAAAGCGGTGTTCAGTTCTCTTATTTTGTATTCTATCCTTGTTGTTGTTATGTGCCATGGAGTCGGTTCCGACCCATAGCGACTCTGCACAGGGTTTCCGAGGCTGTAAATCTTTACGGGAGCAGAAAGCCTCAACTTTCTCCCACGGAACAGCTGGTAGTTTCAAACTGCTGACCTTGCGGTTTGCAGCCCGATTCATAACCACTACGCTACCAGAGCTCCTTCTATCCTAGTCCCTCAGTAAATACCACTTACTCTGACCCTATACTGCTCCATGTAGGTTTCATCTACATTGACAAATGATGTTTAAAAAAAACAAGACTATCCATTTCAGAAATGAATCTAGTAACCAGGTAGAGGTTTGGGGTGGATTGATCTCTTGCTTTGCAGCTCAGCTTCAGCCCCTTGCCCTAACCTGACACTCCGAGAGACTAGCAACCAGGAAGGTTTGAGGTGCTCACTGTGGTCCGTCAAGGCCATCACTGGAGTGTGTGTGGTCCATCTTCTCCTGAGGACCACAGTTGAGACGTGCTGGCCTTTCATCTGGGCATGGGGTGGGGGGTTGTTCCTGCAGGCATTTGGGGCTGTGGAGGCCATCTCTGACCGGATCTGCATCCACACCAATGCAAACGTCAATGTGGAGGTGTCGGCAGAGGACTTGCTCACCTGCTGTCACATGGAGTGTGGGGACGGGTGAGTTTGCGGCAGGCAGCACCTTCCACCAAGGGAGGCCCAGGGACCCAAGGAATGGCGCTAGGAGGCTGTTAGGCCCAAGCTTCCTCAGTTGGAGAATTTGTGGAAAGTGAGTCCATGAGAGTTCTATCAGAAAGAGTGATACTCTTTCCCTAAACACCCCTTCAAGTTGAAAGAGTCATCATTCTTACTTGAGACAGCCTGGAGAGCTGGGAAGTTTGGAAGCAGAGCTTAGTGTGACTACTATTTCCTTGGGTACATCTAAAACCAGACTGTTGGCACAGAGCTGTGGCAGGCAGTGGGAACCTAGGAAAACAGCTACTCTCGGAATATTGGGTTAACTTTCTGACTCCAGACCTGGGTTCTGAAATCACTTGTTCCCTTTTCTTCCAAACCAAAAAAAGCACACCCACTGGTGTTGAGTTGTTTCCAGAATGGAACTGCCTTGTTGAGGATCTCAGCAGGTGGATTGGGAGTTTAGCGATCTCCTAGAAGTGAATTGCCCACAGCCCACCAAACCCACAGCCGTTGAGACAATTCCGATTCATAGTGACCCTGTAGGACAAAGTAGAACTGTGCCCTAGTGTTTCTAAGGCTGTAAATATTCACAGGAGCAAGCAGCCTCATCTTCTCCCATGCAGCTGACCTGGAGGATCCCTAGTGGCTATCCAGGGGAGGATAAACTGCTTCAGGAATACTGCTAGAGGCGGTGGTGGATCTTGGCAGCGGGAAGCCTCTAGAGCTTCTCTCACAATGAATTTGAATTTAACAAATGACTCTCTTCCTAGCTGCAATGGGGGCTTTCCTGCTGGAGCTTGGAACTTCTGGACTAAGAAAGGTCTGGTTTCTGGTGGCCTCTATAAGTCTCATGTAGGTGAGTGTCTGTTCTCAGTCCATATCTGACCAGATGGGTTTTGTAAACAATGAGTAATAATGGTTTGGTTTTCCTCTAATACAGCATTATGCAGCGAGGGATAAGGGCAAGTTAGAATACTGAGTTAGAAAATAGGTGGAAATAACTTTCTACAGCAGAAGTAACAGTAGTAGAAGAAGAGTATAATGCTGCAAATTATAGAGTAATTAATGTTCACACTATCCCTGACCCCAGTTCTTTTGCCTAGTCTATAGGCCTCTCTGGGGGTGCTGTCGACTGACCTTTCTTTTTGATCCCCAATAGGTTGCAGACCCTATTCCATCCCTCCATGTGAGCACCACGTCAATGGGTCCCGGCCCCAATGCAAAGGAGAGGGAGAGACTCCTAAATGCAGCAAGACCTGTGAGGCTGGCTATTCCCCATCGTACAAAGACGACAAGCACTATGGTAAGATGGGACTGGGCCTACCAAGTCTCTACCCTGAAACCTGGGAATCGGATGACATGGTCCCTTAGGCCAAAGGAAAGCAGCCAGGGCAATGAACACTAGGATGAAGAAAGAGAAGGTAATGTCTCTTTCCACAAGCCTGTCTGTACTCGGAATTCAGCATCAGGAATGTTGTCTTAGAACCACAGAACTTCAGAGCTGGAAAGGACTAAACCCCTCATTTTATAAGGGGGTAATCTGTCCTGGTGTGGCGCTATAGGATAAGCTAGATCAGTTTGAACCGCAAGGTTGGCAGTTGAAACTCACCAGCTGCTCCTTGTAAACCCTATACAGGGTAACTGAGCTGAAACTGACTCTACAGCACTTAAAACAACAATCTGTCCTAGAATAGTTCTAGGCTACCACTCTGGCCTTCTTCCAGCTCCTCATGCTCACGGTGCTGCCTAGTGTAGAGACTCTGAATATACTATCTACTTCTCATATCCTTCAGAGCCAGCCCAATCATTTATTTTCAGGGACGCTTTCCCTGACTCTCCTGTATGCACCATCTTTTCCTGGAGGCCCACAGTGACTCAGTGAATGATGAAACAGCAGAAGGCATGATTCCGTCCTAACTTGACCTGTTTAATTTTCCAGGGTATAATTCCTACAGCGTCCCTTCCTCTGAGCGAGAGATCATGACTGAGATTTACAAAAATGGCCCAGTAGAGGGAGCCTTCTCTGTATACACAGACTTCCTGGTGTACAGGTCCGGTATGTATTGATGCCTGTTGACAGCTATTGGGGAGGACTACACTTCGGTGCCAAGATGGATACATATGAACCAACAGCCACCATCATCAGGCCCTTTCTTGGTGGGTAGGGGAAGAAGATGCTCTGTGAGAAAGCCTTTTAACTGGTTCTCATCCTTCCTTGAATATCAGGTAGAATTGGGTCCTCAACAATCTTTATAATCACTGCTCTCAGCTCCCTCTTGCTCACATTCATGGCTTCTGCACAAGCTATTCCAGATGTCCTCTCCAATTTTTTCTACTCATCCCTTAAAACCCAGCTCTTCTCTGTGAAGTCTTTTCTGGGCTTCCCTAGCAGTTGGTCACTCCTACCTTTGGCCGCCAGTAGTTTTTCAGCATGTTCACATTATATCTGTAGGTTTGATGTCTTTAGTCATCTTTGTCTTTGACAGCCTAGCATCATGCCCAACACATAACATAGTAGATATTGCTGTGGGGATTCAAACCATGGAAATTATACAGTCCCTGCCCCCTAGAGCTGGTTTGTTGTGGTTGTCAGGTGTTGTCAGTTTCAACTCACCAGGCAAGTAGAACTGCCCCATAGGTCTTTTATCTAGGCTGTATGCTTTATCGGAGCAGAGCCTCAGGTCTTTCTTCCATGGAACCACTGGGTGGATTCAAATGCCAACCTTGCAGTTAGCAGTTAACAGCCAAGTGCTTAACCCAGGGCTCCTTAAAGCCGTCTTATTTCATAGAACAGTCTCAGTGTTTGCTGACTGGGTTTCTTTCATTTACATTCTGTTAGATTAAAAAATCTAAAGCTCCCAACTCTTAGGATATATTTTAAACACTCAGGCATACATATAATATCTACCTCCTGGCGGTCAGCTCATTCCCTTTCTTTCCATGAATCTAGAGTCCTCAGCTGCTCCCTCTCTCCGTGTCCCCATCTCTGCCACCATCTTTGGTGTCACTGCTTCTCTGGATAGGCATTCCATTTGTGCTCTTCTCCCTTGGTGGTCCTAGGGTCCTCTCTTTCTGGACTGTAAGACTAACTGGTGGTGGTGGTTATGTGCTGTGGAGTCAGTTCCAACTCACAGCCATCCTGTACAGGGTTTCCGGGGTTGTAAATCTTTACGGGAGCAGAAAGCCTCATCTTTCTCCCACGGAACAGTAGTTTCGAACTGCTGACCTTGCAGTTCACAACCCAATTCATAACCACTATGCTACCAGAGAACATCTACCTGTACAATTGTGATAGTTGCAGTTAGTCATGATAACAATTACTCACTGTTGAATCATATGAATCTTATCCCCATCTCTTTTTACCATACCCATCTAGACAAGATGAAAACTATTCAGTGAGGACTCTTCCCACACACACTCTCAAACTAAACTCCCTCTTGAAACCTTGTAAGCCAGTCACTTTATCACCCCCTCATTTTAGGTAGCCAGTGTCTAAGTTGCCCGTCCCTATCTACCCTGTATACATAGGGGATAGCATTGATACTTGATGTGAAGAGTCCTTCTCTCTCTGTTGGTGTTTAGAGTTACTACCTCCATGAGTATAGGTCAGGTTCATCAAATTGTAGCAACTTACCCTCTTTTCCTTTATCAAAAAAAAAATTTTGTTTTGTAATTTTCCTCTAGTTGACTTCTGATTATCAAGGTATTGAGGCTAGGTCAGATGGGTACTATCTGCAAGTTTGGGTGTTCTTGTGCCTTTCCCCTCACTTCATATCAGCTGGATTCTTCACTTTCAGCTCTAGCCCTCTGTGGCTATGTCGTTGTCCATGGGCTCAGGTGTCCCTAGGTTTCATCATACTTTGGACCAACCAGCCCTTCCTCTTCTCTCTCTCATCTCCAGGTCAGTGGTTGAACTCAGCCCGTTTCTTCATTGCTACCTTTCCCCCTCTTCCACTCACCACTAGATCAGTGTGGTTGCCAGCAAGCTTACATGGCTGCTCATGTGTTCCCTTTGAGTTTGTCTTGTTGTTGTTGTTGTTATGTGCTGTGGAGTCAGTTCCGACTCATAGCGACCCTGTACAGGGTTTCTGAAGCTGTAAATCTTTATGGCAGCAGAAAGCCTCATCTTTCTCCTTCAGAGCAGCTGGTAGTTTCGAACTGCTGACCCTGAGGTTAACAACCCAATTCATAACCACTACGCTACCAGAGCTCCTTGAGTTTCAGTCTTAAGAGGGGATTAATTGTGTTTTTAAAGCCAATGAGCATACATTTTGATGGACTCTGTTTTGATAGTAAAGGAGCTCTGGTAGCATAGTGGTTACAAATTGGGCTACTAACCTCAGGATCAGCAGTTTGAAACTACCAAATGCACCGCGGAAAAAAGATGGAGTTTTCTGCTGCCATAAAGATTTACAGCCTTGGAAGCCCTGTACAGGGTCGCTATGAGTCGGAACTGACCCACAGCACATAACAACAATTTTGATAGTTACTCAACACATTTGGATGTTTTTTAAAAATATATTTAAATGAATATTGTTGTTGTTGTTAAGTGCCTTCGAGTCGGTTCCGACCCATAGCGACCCTGTACAGGGTTTCTGAGCGTGGGCCTAATATTTGTGGGAAGCACTGGAGCCTTCTCATGGACCCGAGTTTTATAGGACCCACTTTTTTGTTTGTTTTTTTAAATGTTTTATTGTGAATTATGTGATAGTTTACATGGGAAAACATTAGTTTTATATTCATCCTATCGTATATTGTTTCATTGCCATGGTTACAGTCCCCTCCGTGCATCATCAATCAACCTAAGGGTATACCCTGCAAGCCTGCCTCCTGGTCGGCAGCACAAACTCCCTCTCCCTCTCTGGGTCTAAAGTCCCCAGCTGCTCCATCTCTCCACGTCATCTTCTCTGGCGTCACTGCTTCTCTGGGTAGGGTGCTGCTCTTCGCTGTTCTTCCTGATGGTCCCAGGGGCCTCCACTCCTAGAGGGCCCACTTTTAAACAGCTTGTTTTAGTGCTTTCCACATACAAAACCTCTTAGTACTTTCTGGAACGTGTTTCTCCAAGCTGAAAGGCAGACAGCTGAGTTGAATGATGCTGTAGGAGATGGGGCAGTGACTCTGGCTTGGACTGAACCCAGTTTTTTCTTTCTTTTCTCAGGAGTGTACAAACATGTAACTGGAGAGGAGGTGGGGGGCCACGCCATCCGTATTCTGGGCTGGGGAGTAGAGGAGGGCACACCTTACTGGCTGGCTGCCAACTCCTGGAACACTGATTGGGGTGAAAATGGTGAGTAGCTGCTCTCTTCTTACTAAGAATACATTAAGATTGTCTAACGCTCTGGTAGCGTAGTGGTTACGAATCGGGCTGCGAACCTTAAGGTCAGCAGTTCGAAACTACCAGCTGCACCACGGGAGAAAGATGAGGCTTTCTACTCCCGTAAAGATTTACACCCTCGGAAACCCTATACAGGGTCGCTATGGGTCGGAACTGACTCGATGGCACATAACAACAACAACAACGCTTCCTAGAGAGTTATGAGCCAGAACATAGTGGCCATCTTAGGCCTTCAACTTCCCAAGTGGTGGTAGTAGCTGGGGTTTTCCTTTGCCTAAAGACAGTCTCTGATCCTAAGATGGTGGGATGAGGCAATGGTACCACTTCACATAGCTCATTTACAACTCAGCTTCCACACTAGGTGTGATTGCTGTCATACAGGACGACTTAGGATAGAGCAGAGGGGTAATGCCTGGTTGTGGTTGTCTTGTCATGTTGCTGAGGGCTGGTTTAGTGGCTAAATGGCTGGTACAACTCCTTGGTATTGTTTACTTACTCCCCTGGATCTTTTGAGGATGTCTGAATATGTTGTCAGAGGTCAAAACCTAAGGCATGCTTTCAAAGCACTTCTGTTTTCTTTTCCAGGTTTCTTTAAAATCCTCAGAGGAGAAAACCACTGTGGGATTGAATCAGAAATTGTGGCTGGAATCCCACGCACTGCTCAGTACTGGAATAAGATCTAATCAGCTGTGGCCCCATCCAACCAGCCCTAGGGAAGTTTCCCCCTAAAGATAACCTGCTGGGCTGGGGACAGAAGGAGGGGCAAGAATGTCTTTTATTCTTTGAGTTCAGATAAGATAATAAGGTTTTAGACAGTAGCTGGTATGCTTCAGGGCCCAAAGGACTGGATTGGGCCAAACCTTGTGTCTACTATCAGCTCTGATCCATTCTGAAGTAGACAGCTGTCTTCCACGGGAGACAAATCCAAGTCCTGGCTACTTCCCAGCCTGTTCTGTGGACTGATCCTCCTAAAGCAAACAGACCATGTAAGCCACTGCTCAAAGTGAGCCCTTTCCCCATAGACTAGTACTGTAGTTAGTGCCTGCTCTCCCACCCCTGCTCCCACGCCCATCCACTACACCCTCCACACCGGCGCACTTCCAGGGAGCAAGACACACTGAGAACCTAAAGGGTTTGACTTCTGGTTTTCCAAAGGAATATAAAGTATCATTCTTAGTGAGATTTAAATTTCCACATATAAGCAGTGCCTGTAGACAAGTAGCTTTCTGGAGTAAGTTGAAAGATGGTTGGGGGCAGCCTTATGAAGAAAGCCACATTCAACCAGGTCCCCTGCATCTATTGAACTTTGCAACGTTGCAGACTTTCTCTGTGTCATGATTTTCAAATAGAAATGTTACTTTTAATGTACCTCAAATGATCATGCCCAACAACAGTTCTAAGAACAGCTGTGCTAATTTTAAAGACTGTCTCCCTATGGTGTGGCTTAAAACTGGGTGGTAATGATTTGACCTACAGACCTACCCACCTCTTAACACCATAGTGAAACTAGTTTGAGAAACGCGCTTTTACTGGTTTTAAATCACTGCTTACCTTTGAATTTAATAAGGAAAAGATGAACTGTGCCAATAAAAGGTTTCTTCAAATTGAAGTCTGCTTTCACTGGTGGTAATTTGTCACTGCCTGTGCACCTGTAGTTGCTGTCAGTCCTTCGCCTCAGAAGGACTCATGTTCTCCTAGATCTGGGTGCCCTTGCAGCTCTTCCCAGGTATGTCTTGGGTAGAACATACCTAATTTTAATTTCTCTGCCCCAACCATATTTTCAAGCCATGGTTCTTCTCTTAGTTCCCTGTCATCTCATCACCCCGGCTCTGGAAATCCACCCTTTGAACTCTTCCCAAGCCTGGTTCAGCTCCGTTCTTGCTCATTGCTTTTTATAACAACCCTTGAGGACTCTGCTGATAAAACCACCATATATCCAAGATAATCACTCTCCTAGAGGACCAGATTTCCCTGGGTGCTTTCTTGGTTCAGGAGTGGAGCCAGAGGCAGTATACAGTATTTTGAGTTCCTTGTGGCACTTTGATTTACATTACTGGTTACAAACTTATATAGCAGAACCCTAGTTAAGAACCTTAAATAATGGTGTACACCAGTTGTAACTTGAGGGGACAGAGGAAACTAGAAGAATCAGCACTCATTCCACTGGTCTGACAAAATACATCCGGACTTGAGTTCTTTCCAGAAGATTCCACTTCATATATATAACTCACAAGTTAAGAATCAGAAGCTTCAAATAAACTCTAAAACCTGACCATTCTGTAGGAAACATTTGTGAAAACACAAGTTGCTGGCAAATTGATTCAAATGTATAGTGGGTGACCTTATAGGGCAGAGCAGGCCTGCCCCACAGGCTTCCAAGACTCTGACTCTAGGGAAACAGACATCTTTCTCCTGCAGAGCATGTGCAAAACCAGGGCAAAAAACTGTATCGCCCCAACCTTCTCTAATCCGTAATTGGGTTAAGTGATCCATTGCAGCAGCCACACACAACTCAAACGTACCAGTTACAGGTTTTATTAAGGAGTTAACAGGGTCAGAAAATATTCAGGGCAGTTAAGTCAGCTGCTGATAAATGCCCACAATTCACACTCCCCCACTGTAAGCTTCAGCCTGAAGGCACTGAGCTTTAGCTCTGTGGGTCAAGCAAATCTAGCTCACCGACTTAGTGCCTACAGGCACCCATCTACAAGCAAACCTCTTGCCTTTAGTCACTCAGCTTTACTTGCTCCATGGGCTGGGAAGTCTACTGTTCAGTCTAATGCTCTGGTTCTTGGTTCTGCTGCTTCCTGCTTCTAAGATGGCTCATCATATACTCATGCTAAAGTTTCAAGTTTTTACAGTTAACATCCATAGCTGAATCACATCCTGTCAGCTTCTTCCTTAACTCATATCCAAAAAGAAAAGAGTTTACAAAGAGTAAGGATAGAAGAGACATTAAACAATTCACTACACCACACAACAGTTAACGAAGTATGAATTTGAAGCCATTTAATTCTTAAAATTTTCAACTAGAATAAATTATTAGCCTCAGTGAAGTTTTCAGTGGTTCTACCCACTCCCAGCACTGAGTTGAGCAATTCCATCTTTATTGTTAAGTGGTGCTCGGTCAGTTCTGACTCAGTGACCCTGTATAGGGTTTCCAAGAAGTGATTGGTGTGTTTGAACTGCTGAAGCCTCAGTTCAGTGCATTAACCTGCAGCACCACACCGAGAGTCCATATACTGAACAGATTTCATCCCATCCCCAAGGCCAGCAGAGGTTTGCAGAAGTACCAGAATGAATTGTTGGATATCTTCATACTTGGTTAAGGAGCCTTTGTTAGAAAAATGATCTCACAATGTGTATGTATGATTATAGAGATCTTAAAGCTTTAATAACCTCAAATTTACCCAAGTCTCATCACAAATAAGGGATAAGTCATTTTTCTTTGGTGCCTGTCCACAGTAATTGGATGAAAGTGACAATACCCTCTAGAGAATGGCATTGTGACAAAGGATTTGGAGCAGCTAGATAACAAATGAGATTTCAGAGACCTTAAATTCAAACGTGAGCTTGTCTACATCACCTGTTGTGCTGTTGAGTCGGTTCCAATTCATAGAAACCCTGTACAGGGTTTCTGAGGAGCAGCTGCTGACTTTGAACTGCCTGTTGTTAATGTGCTTTAGAGTCGGTTCTGACTCATAGCAACCCTGTACAGGGTTTCCGAGGCTGTAAATCTTTATGGGAGCAGAAAGCCTCATCTTTTTCCTGCAGAACAGCTGGTAGTTTCAAACTGCTGACCTTGTGGTTGGCAGCCCGATTCGTAACCACTACTTGAGAAATGTACCCAGATCCTGTTATGTTAACCTAGCATTTACACATTTGCACAACCCAGTGACTCCAAGACCTACTGAGCCATTTTTCAGGGGGATGACCAAGCATTTAATTTCACTATGTATAAAAATTAACAAGAGTCCACATTTGCTGCTAGGACCATAGAAGTTTTGACCAGTGGGTCAAAGATTCTGCAGGTCTAACAAGTTCTCAGGTGTTATCAATGAAGCTGGTCTGAAGAGCATTGTTTCAGAATCACCGCTCCAATTTAAAATACACATACCCAGCCAGATGTGAGGTACCCTAGGATCAGCACTAGACTGCAAACCACGAGGTCAGCAGTTCAAAAAACCCATCAGCTGATCCTCAAAAACCCTATACAGGGTCACTATGAGTTGGCACATAACATCGACCAGTCTACTGGATTTTTATTAAGATGCAAATACAGATGCAAAAAAGAAAAAAAACGAGGCCCCTGGTTTTACATTTTAAATAGTTTAAAAACAAAAAACAAAAAAAACCCTATTGTTGTGACTGTGATGTTGCTACTGATTCTGACGCATGGAGATCCCAGCTGCTCCATAGGATTTTCTTGGCACACTGCCACCAGCACCATCTTCATGGGAGCAGATCCCAGGCCTTTCTGCAATGCTACAGGATTGGGAACTGAGCACTGTTAACTCTCTGGATCCAAACTAAGGAAGCTCCCTCAGTTGGTGTTAGGGATGGCTCACAAGAGCAAAGTGTTGTGTTATGTGTGTTGGACAGCCGCCATTCAGTCCATGACCAAATTCTTGCCTCCCACGAGGAAGAATAAAGTTCCATTCTCTGCTACTGCAACTCAGTCAGTCACCAGCTGTTGGTGGAGACTTTCATCTTGCTATGGTGCTGCATGGCTTTTAGCAACAAGTACAGACTAAGCCCATCCATTTTGTTCTTTGTACATGGGTTGGCATGGGTCAGGGAGCCTGCTCATTGGCAGCTAATGTGTGTAACAATTCAAGTCCAGCATTATGTGCTGCAAAACAAAATTTATTCCGTCATGCACTCAGTATACACTAAGGACTGTAGCAAAAGTAGTGTAGTGTATATATGTTGTTATGTGCCACTGAGATGGGTCCGACCCATAGCGACCCTGTATAGGGTTTCCGAGGAGCGAATGGTGGGTTTGAACCTCCAACTTTGTGGTTCAAACTGATCTTGCAATCCAGCGCATTATCCTGAAGCTCCACACCAGGACTCCATATGTATGATATATATACCCAAATAGATTCCTGGTGCAGCACTGTAGGAGAATCACTGTACGACTAACTCAAAGTCAGTGATTGAAACCGACCAGACACTCCTTGGAAACTCTATAGAGTATCAATTGAGTCAGAACCAACTCGATGGCACTTAACATCAGCATCACACAATACCCAAATACATGCTTAAAAATTAATGGTCTTTCAAGAAACTTTTTTTTTTCAATTCCCACCCTGAGAGACTTTATCAAACATTCCCCTTGCAAAGGACCATCTCTTCCCCTGCCCAAGCTGAGAATCTCAGAGCAATGATTGGTGAGAAATGTGTCAAACAAACCTCAGCTGAGGTAAAAAGGAAGTTGAAATCATGGTGATAGGAGAATTGGGGTAAGTACCATTTGGCTTTCAAAAGCCACTCATCTAAAATCATAAGTAATTCTGGAGAAAAAAAAAAAGGGAGGGGGGGCTTCTGAGCACAGCTAAGCAGCCAGGGCGCCATGACAGCATAGTGAGGCAGGGGTACAAGCTGTATCCCAAGAACAGTGCTGCAGCTTCATTTCCCAGCAGTCACACTGCCACAGCACTTGGCTGGGCTCCTGGCTGCTGCTCCTTTGAAGGATGTCAAGGTGAAAGCAAATTGCCATCCCTCCTCAATCACAAACTCACTCTTGATTTCTACGTGTCTCATGATCATCCTAAGGAGGCCTGGTAGTATGGTGGATTATGAGCTGAGTTGGTAAGTGTAAGGTCAATAGTTCAAATCTACCAGACACTCCGTGGGAGAAAGATAAGGCTTTCTGCTCCCATAGATTTACAGCCTTGGAAACCCTGTTACAGGGTCACTATGAGTTGGAACTGTCTTAGTAGTGTATAACCACCACCATGGTCACTCTGGTTTTGAAGTCAACTGCACTGTACAAATGCAGACTAATTAATTTTATTATAAAAATCTTTCACAAAAGACACTGCAGAAACCTGAGACTATGGCTCTTCAGCCGTGCTTCAGTTCTGAAATGGAACCCATGCTCGTGATCCAATTTTCAACCAAAAGGTATATAGGTTATGTAGGGGGAAACAACACTAGTGAGGTATGCTCACCCTGAATGGTCAACCACTCAAGATGAAAAGGACATTTACCTAAGGACAAAGCTCAGAAGGGTTGGGAAGGAGGGTGGAATGGAAACCAGCACAGGGAGGAAGTAGGATACCCATTGTATGGAGGGGATCGTGCTGTGTCTCTCTGAAAGCTGAACCCTCTTTACAAGACAGTGTCATTGTACCAGGATATACAGAATTTAATTGTTAGCCACCAAGTACAGAAAACAGTCTGCATTCTTACAAACATGGAAAAATTACCACTACAGACATATTATCTACTACTTTCAACCAATGAGGAGAAATAAAGTGATAAAAACAGGAACCAGTGAATTCACTTCATATTCTAGCACAAAAAGTATTCAAAAGTTGCTTTAAATTAAATATGTGTTATTATAATTACAAAGTCCTGCTGTGCCACTGTAGGCTAAGAACTGAACTGCTAACCACAAGGTCAATGGTTCAAACCCACCAGTTGATCCTCGGAAACCCTATGCAGGGTCACCATAAGTCGGAGCCAAATTAACAACAATTATAATTCTACCGAGGATTCACGCAAAACAAAATCTCACGACAGTTCCATTTCAACGATTTTACCTAATCTGTAGCAATTAATCCTCTACCATCAGCCTCAAACTAATAAGCAAAAGTAACCACTACCCAGAAATAGCTGGGAGAAAAATGAGGCTTTCTGTCACAATAAAGATTTACAATCTCAAAACCCCTATACAGGGTCACTCTGAGTAGGAACTGACTCGACAGGACATAACAACCACCACCCCAGAAGTACCAGGCTGAGGAGAGTAATGTAGTCTTCCACATTTTTATATTCTTCTCAACTGCATTTTAGTGTCTAGAGGTCTAAGCCACACAGAGTTCTTTTAGGGATTTAAAATAGGATGGGCAAAAAAAAAGAAGTCAATAGCCATCCTTGAAGAAAAGATAAATCCGCTTCATGATGAACTTGAGCTTCCAGACAATTCCAAATCAATGTTCTCCTTTCTGAACATAGTCTTCTGTGACCTGGGATAGGGTGCTCAGATACTGCCAACTCAGTGCAGCCAAGAGCATGACAAACGACAGGTAAATAGGAGAGTAGTGGCTTCGGGAGACCAGCTGACAGTTGGGAAGATTCTGCGTCTTGACAGTAGAGATGAGTTGCTTTGTTTTGTTAGAAGATGGGTCTGAGTTGGGGATCCGATTATAAATCTGATAAAGAATTAAAAAATAGTAAGTACTATCTTTGACGTCTCCATATGTATCTTATAAACATTTTTCTTGTTTACTTCTAAAAAGGTAGGTATTTTTGTTCTAATTTTACCAATGAAGAAACAAGCTGAGAGAGTGTTAAAATAACTTACCTAAGTCAGGTCCTTCTAGTCACAGCCTGTATCCACGCATGCTTCACGTGGAGAGCTACTGACAACCTCAAGAACAGTAACTATGCCTATTCATCTTCACATTCGCACCCGACACCACACAGTGCCTGGCACATAGCATGCTTTGATTAAGCTAAAAGAAAGTGGTAGTGTAAAATGGAGAAGAGCAAGTGATAATGCAAAGACAAAACTGGCCAAGAGAAACATCTTGCAGAAAGATGGTAGACTGGTAGACTAGGCAGACAGACTACACAGACCCTCTACAACAAAGATACGAGAGACAAAATAAAACAGACACATATGAAAATCCTGGCACCCTGAATTTCAGAAGAAAGGTTAGAGAGGTACATGGAAGCCTGCTGGGAGGAGAAGCTGAGCAGGGACAGCAAGTGAGGGAGACTGACTGGCGAACTGCTGGCCAGGCAGCTTTGGCAACGGAGGGAGGCCTAGCAGAGCAGATTCATGCAGACACCAAGAAAGCTGTGATTTCTTCTTTTTCTCAAAACTCCCCTGGTGACCAGAGGTGTAGCCAGTTTTCACCCTCATCCACTCCCAGCACAGATCCTGATCTCTAGGAATTAAGAGTCATGTGATTGGGAGCCACACCAGCGTAAGGTGGGGGCTGCCTGCGCCACTTTGCTGTGCCGACTTGGTGTCTGGATTCAAGTGGCTTGGTTCCAGACTTACAAAAGCACATGCAGAGCCACCAGACCAGCATTTAACTATTCACTCTGCCACAGCTGCCCTGTGGTCCTGACACACCAAAACCAGTTCCACCAAGGTCCCCTCTAATTACTTCTGAATGGAGTGCCCTGAACATAGATAACACCGAGGCCAACAGGAACTCCATCTAGGGCTGGAACTCTGTCGTCACATCCTTTCCACAACCACTTCGTGAGTTCCTTGAATTGCAGGATCCCACCAAAAATTTCTCCCCTCCAGGACCAATAACAGTACTGTTTGATTTTACAAATATGAAATCCCATTTAAAATGCCCTGGAGACAACAGCATTTTAACTCATATAAATGAGAAAACAATGAAAACTTCAGAAGAATTCAGGGAAGCACTACAAGAACAAATAGATAAAATATATGCAAATTTTGAAACAATACAAAACCTGCAACTAGAAATCCAGAAGGTTAATATTTAAGATTTCAGAAATGGAGAATGCATTGAAAGGGCAAAGAAGTACATGCAAAGTAATGGAAGCCCGAATTAGTGAGCTCGAAGATAAATTTCTCAATACTAGTATGCCAGAACAATTAGAGAAAAAAAAAGAATGAAAAAAATCTGACACCATGAAGAGGGACAATTGATAGGTAATCAGAATTCCTGAACAGGAAGAAATAAGCAAAGAGAAAATTGTCGAAGAGTTGTTGGAAGAAAACTTCTTTAGCATCATGAAAGACGACAAGAAGCTGAACGAACCGAACCCTAAAAACAGGATAGGTCCCAAAAGAAAAATCACGAAGACATATGATAATCAAACTTTCCAAAATTAAAGACAAGGAAATAATCCTAAGAGCAGTCCAGGAAAAACTGCAAAGTTAGCTACAATGGAAAACCAGTAAGACTAAGCTCTAGTTTTTCAGCAGAAACCATGCAGGCAAGATGCCAATGGTATGGCATATACAAAACTCTGAAAGAAAAACACTACCAACTAGAATCACATACCCAGCAAAGCTGTCCTTCAAATACGACAGGGAAACTAGGGCATTTGCTGATAAAGGAATTTATAATGACCAGACCAACTTTACAAAAAATGCTACAGGTAGTTTTGGATTGAGAACCAACAGCATGAGATTACCATACATGACAACACCCAGAACTCAATCCAGATATAGAAGTCTTTTTAGAGTAAAACAAATCTACAAGACTGAAAATAGGGGTCCACAGATTATCAATGTATAATGCAAATCATTATTTGCCACAAAGCAAAAGAAGGGAATAGTGTACATACAGAAACTCCACATGACAAGTCAAGTAGATTTCAAGATAAAACACAATACTTTAAGCAGGAAAAAAATTAATTACAGGGTAATGTCAAAGAAAAATATACCTACACATCAAAATTTTAAAAAGATGAAAATCAGAAAGATTAAGTAAACATTAACACGATAGAAATGAAAGTGAAAAGAAAACCCATAAACAAAATGAACTCAGCATGGAAAATAAATTACATGGAACAAAGAATCCAGAAGCAACACACACACAACTCACAAAAAATTACCAACAATCAATTCATACCTATTGATAATTACACTGAATGCAAATCTATTATATGTACCAGTCAAAAGACATAAGGAGCAGAATGGATAAGAAAATAGGATCCTGCAATATGCTGTCTACAAAAGACGTATCAAAAAGATGGGGACAGCCTAAATGCCTACCAACACAACAATGGCTAAACAACCTTTGGTACATACACACAGTGGAATACCGAGCAACTTGAAGAATCATGGTGCATCTGGGAAACACCTCATAACATGGATGAAAATACTAAAATTAGTTGATCACACACACACAAAAACAAAAACAAATACTGTATGCAACCACTGTGGCAAAACTGATGATCTGCTCTGTAAACCTTCATTCAAATCCTAATAAAAAGTTTGTCAAGCAAAACAAAAAATTGACATCCTTACGGTGGTTAGCAGGGGTTGGAGGGAAGGGAAAACCACTCACTGATTAGAGGGTAGACACGTGTTAACATGGATGACAGGAAAGGCAATATACAACAAAAGGGAGATTTGGAAGAGGAAAGATGAAGGTAGCAGAAGACACAGGGAATGCAAGAGTTAAAGTGAATAGAGGCAAATACTGTTAACTGATGGCATATGGAGATTACAATCATAGTAATGAAACAAAGTACAGGATATGTTGAATGTGGGAATGATGATATCTGTAAACCTTTACTAAATTCACAATTTAAAAGTTACTAAGAAAACTCTCACAACAAATACCAAGGACAAAAATGCTACAATAACCACCCTTGCATACAAAGAGGGTTCAAAAAGGTCATGAAAAAATAAAAGGCTTCCTTGAATTTTATGATTATTGCAGCCTAAGGATAAAGTCCAAGAACTTCTGGGTCAAAATTGTGATGGCTATGAAACCACATATTACAAAGGACATGGAAGTCTACCTACACCAAGGGTTTGTGGTTAAATGCTGTCGAGCTGGTTGCAACTCATAGCAACCCTGAATAGGGTTTCCAAACAGTAGCTGCTGAGTTTGACTTGCCAACCTGTGGTTCAAACTAATCTGTGGTCCAGTGCTTATCCTACAACACCACCCCAGGGCTTCTAGGGTTAGGGGAAGGCAAAGGAGGATGCCAGGAGCATCCCTCCCCACATTATCTGGATCCATGATTAGGTGGATGCTAATGTTAACCAAAATAATAATAATAATACAGGAAATTTTACTTTGATTTGGGGGAACAGTGATGAATTAAGTTTGGGCTATACTGAGTTTGAGGGACTTATAAGGACAATCAGGAAAAACTGTCTAGATAGCATTCAGGAACATGGAACCAGAATAAAATCTGTACTTGAGTAATAAAATCAGGAGCGACAAACACACAGTGGAGCTCTGGACACAGCTAGATAGATCCCCAGGAGTACCCAGGAGGGAATTAGGTAAGAAGAAATAAAAAGCAAACCAGAATTCAAGAAAACACCTGCATCTAAGAAGCAGACAGAAAAAAAGAAGCTAGAAAGACAGGAGAGCAGAGAAAGACGTAAGACTTTAAACAGGTAATGACAGAGTCACAGAAGCCAGAGTAGAAAGGGCTTCAAGGAGGGAAAAAGATCCACAATATCAAGTGACGCAGTAGAATCAATAAATAGTTCTTTTTTCAAGTCACTAAGGAGCTCTGGAAGTGTAATGCAAATGAGTCGGGTCTGCTAACCTCAAGGTCGGCAATTTGGAACTACCAGCCATTCCACAGGAGAAAGATGAGGCTTTCTGCTCCTCTAAAGATTTATAGCCTCAGAAACCCTGTACAGGGTCACTGGTCCAGTGGTCCAGTTACAGTGGTCCAGTCAGAACCCAACTCCATGGCACACACTGACCGCTACCACCAAGTCTGTAAATTAAAAGGTCATCTAACCACTTCATTAAGAACAGTTCTAATGACAGGATAGGAATAAGAGCTAAAACAAAAGGGGTTGAGGAAAAATGGGAATAAATAAAGTACATATGCTCTTTTGAAAAGCTAGTTATGGAGGAAAGGAGACAGAGGGAGTGGGAAGAGAACTGTTATGATGCATTTACTTTTTTGGATTGACCCGGAGCATGTGTACAAACTTAAGAGACATGACAAGTAAGCAAGGGTTTAGGTACAAGAGAGGTGATAGGCGAGTAGATATATGCACACTGATGATCACTGCAGCACTAAATAGCAAAAAGACGAAGACAGCATATGTGCCCAACAATGGCACAACACAGTATACAGACAATATTCTACATGCTACTTTGATGAGCAGCGTCTGAGATATTAAAAGGTGCAGTTATTGGTGTCTCCGTGTGCAGAAGAAGGAAGAGTGATGAGAACTGAAGATGCTTCAACTTGTCCATCGGACTAATGGAACATGTAAACAATAGTCACCATGACCCTGAGACCAGAAGAATTAAGGTGGTGCCTAGCTACCACCACCAACTGCCCTGAATGGGATCACATTAGTAGGTTCTAGATAAGAGCAGCATAATATGTGGGGAAAAACTCAAAATTATTTAAAAAAAAAAAAAAAAAAAGACTGGGCTTACTAGTCAAAAAGAGACTGGAGGAAGCTGAGACTATGGCCATCGACGGCCCTTCAGATCTGGAA